TCAAACCCAAATTGTGTGCATTAAAGTACGACCTCTGCAACAATTATGACTGCAAAACTAGAGCTTAATGGCTCTATTCAAGCATTTTTTATCTCTTAAGGGGCTGTTTCAGAAACACAGCTGAACTCAGAGGCATGGGCTTTGATTTCTTTCCTCCACCCTTCCAATTCAGAAAATAATTTAAATTCCAGGAGTGCTAAACTGACCTTGCTTTCTCCTCTGCTTGCCTGCTAATTAGAGTTTAACAAGTGGTGCTTCCAGCCCTTCATAGCACATCCAGGACAGAAAGTGATGCAAATGTGAACTGATAGGATCAGAGAGCTTTACTCTACCATCAATTTCTACATAAATCCAGAGGGGACATCAACAGGAATTTTGCAGACAGGGGATGGCCCAAAGCCAAGACGAAAGCAGCACTAATAAATCTTACTGTGGTCATGTTGTTCTGTTACACGTCCATCCTTTTTGAGGTTTAAAATATTACAGCAATTCCCATCTGGGGCAAGGCCCAGAATGTAATTTCATTCCCTTCTAATGCTTTCTGCTGACAAGACTGTCAACAGGCAAGTTTCAGTGAGTGAAACCAACACAGCTTCAGTGAGCCAGGAACATTTACATCTTGAGAGATAAACTATGCATTATCAAATACAACATACCTTAGCATAGCTCTTAATTAAATCAACCTGCAGTTGTCACTTCGGCATTGATAATGCAACATATTACAGTGATTTTCTAGGAAGAAGACGAGGCTCTCTAAAAATCCCCGGCCAGTCTTGATTTTCTGCTCCAGCTGGATTTTCAAAGTTGTATTTGGAATTTGCCCGCCTTGTTATAAGATATCCATGTAGACTATTCTTAGAGGTATAATTTGATTAAACAAAGATTTATGGGGGTTTGTTTTGAATTTGTATTTTTCAAAGCCAAAAAGCATACAGAAGTGTTTTAATAATGTCTGAAATGCCGCTCACAATACAGTTAAATAACAAAGAGCTCATGTAACTAGAATTGTGCCATGCACTATTATAACAGCATTGCTAATCCAAGAAGATGCAGAGGTATCAAAGGGATGCTGAGGAAGCACCATAGCTATGCTTCAGAATCAAGGAGTCAGCTCTCCAAGACACACAATTCATATACAATTGTCACCAACAGCCTTTTATGCTTAGAAGGGAAAGGAGAAGGCAGTGCTGTAGAACAGTTTTCTGTGAGTTTTTCCCCCCATATCAACAAGCCCTTATTGGAAATTTAAAAGAACTGGGATGCAATATGTTGCATATTGCATAGACTCCAGTGAACAGAGGCCCTATATCCAAAGCCCACTAAAGCTGATGGATGGTTCCCAAAGCTTTAACAAATTCCTGGTCAGCCCATCATACAGTCAATTCCCTGCCTTTCTGAACTGTAGCATATACCTTCTGCTAGTTCCAGCTGGTTTTCAGTAGTGAAGAATCATTTCTCAATACCACTAAAAAATAAAAATAGCTGAAGGGTCTGTATTGCTAACACAGCCCCAGAAGCACACAAGAACCATTTGCAAGTCTGACATGGGTTTCTACAGCAACCCATTTTCACCTTGGCATTTAATTCAGACAGCTCTAGAGCACTCCTGTCTGCATCTGGAAAAAGAAATGATTGTATTTCCGGTAGTGAAAAGGGCTGTGATACACCCCCTCACCCACAGGACAGTAGGATGAAAATGAGCATATCTGAAGATAGTCAACGCAGCCCAGCCTCCTGAAATATGAACTTGACTTTTAGGCTAAGTCTGAGGGGAAGACAGTTCTTTCCATATCCACAGTGATCACAACAAGCAGACATTATTTCCAACTTTACTGCTGAATTCGGAGACAACCCTCTCCTTACCACTCATATTGCGATGGTCACAGTTCCCTTCCACTTCTCCCCTCAAGTGATTTATGCTGTTTCACCCTGCTCCCTGTCCTCCTTCAAGTGCAAGAAGTCTGCTACAATGAACAGGGGAAAATAACTATGTAAAGAGAACTGCCACTTCTTAGCTCAATGAATGTCGTCAAAGTTTGCATCCTTCAACTGAAAAACAAGTATATGAATGACCAGCCTTTGAATTCAAGCACTGAATGAAAAACCAGGACCCAATCCGAGAGATGTTAGTAAGGTTCTGCTACTAGTTATTACAATGAAGGCAGATTATTTTTATTCTTAGTTTCCACCCTCAGCTGCAGGAAACTTGCCCCCAGGGGCTGGTGCAGGGGAGGGAGAGAACGAGGAGTCAAAGAAACCCCCAGCACAACCCACCCACCAAAGAGGTTGCCCCAAGATTTACTAAGCAAATGCCAAGCATCACCCAGTTTCCCACAGAAACAATCAAGGAAGCAAGCAAAGTTAATATTTTAATTAAGACAATAAATCAACGACCTTCTCTTGTTTTCTGAAATGGCTTGACATAAATTCTCATTTACAATAATTTTGCCATATCAGACGAGAGACCTGCTCATTTGGCAGGGATATCTATTGTGCTCAGCAAATGCTAGCACTTTGCCCCCTTTAACACATATAACCCATCTTTAAAGACTCATCTTCTCACTGTGTCCTCAAAATGACTTAGTGGAAATTTAAAAAAAAAAAGAAAAAAAAAGGAGATAACAGACTCCAATGATTCAGAGTAACCCACTCCAGCTTGTGTTTTTAAAAACAGCTTTAAAGTCACACCAGATTTTTTTGTTTCATTTTTACCAGCATGCTCAGACCTGTCTCAAACAGTTTCTTGTTCTTCTCCCATTCAAGTCTATGGAAATTTTGCCTTCAGTGTAGTCAGAAGAGGAAATTCAGTCATATTAATTCCTCCAGGGTAAAGTAACCAGAAAGGCATTAAAGGGCTTAGCCTAGTGTGGGCACCACTACACATGTCTAAAGTTACTTTACAGCGGTCCTTTTTCAAACTCTGCCCATGGTGTAGTACAAAACAGATCTCACTAAATTTCTGGGACCTAAACAACACCACGTGCCAACTGAGCTCACATATTTGCCCAGGATCAGAAGATTAAAACCATGGCTGCAGCCCTCAACTGGTCATCCTTTGCAGAATCCCTTATCTTCATCACTCCGAAAATCCCAGCCCCAGTCTCCAGAAGTGAGCTGCTAACATCTTACCCCCGAACCATCAGGTCTAAGAATCATATATCAGCCCCTTCCACTTCCAAAGTGTTGTAAAATTTGGCCCTTGAATGTTTGCACAGGTGTCGTGCTGTGGTGGTGATCTGCAGTCAGCCCCAGTAACATCAACAGAGCTGCGCTTGATTTGCACTGACGCAGCTCAGGAAGCCTGTACTCCTCAATAGGTTGCTGTGTTTTGTACATCCTACTTCCACTTGTGTGCACAAAGCCCTGCCGGCCTTCAGGCAACTCCCAGAACAAATAGGCTGGTTTCTATTTTCAGCGGGAGCCACTGTCATTGCTTGGACTCACATCAAGGCAATATTTTTCTTATGTTTTTTCCAAACCCCAAGTGTAGGGACAAAGGAAAGACATTATCCTCTATGTAATTTATTCAAACTGATGTGCCAGGTCTTAAATTAACAAGCAAGAGCTGCATTCAGTCCCAAATACTTTGTTTAAAGCTCTTCCAAGCTGACCTGTGCAGTCAGTGGTGCCTGAGTAACCATAGCAGCATAGTTGAACAATGCCCAATACTTGTGAACAGACACACAGAAATTCAAGAGGTGGGATGCACAAAGCATGGATCTCAGTAAAAAGCAGAACAGCCACTAGAAAAAGCACCAGAGCTGCTGATGAACATGAGAGCAGAGTTAGATCTGCTGTTTACCGAGACCAAAATGAGAGCCATGAAGGGTGAGTGAGAGTGCTAGTACAGCCTCAAAATTAAGTATACAAGTAAATATACAAGTAAAACTAGTGACCAAACCAGGTCTGGAAGCCCCCTAAATTGTCTGGATATCTGTGGCCACCATAGTTACCCAACTAGCAAGTTCTGATCACTTCCTTGCAAAACCCTGGTAGGTGCTGGTTTTCCACTTGACAAGAGCCCCCAACAGGCCAGAAGTCCAAAGCACATATTGGCAGTTGTTTTCCAGTTACATTAAATTATACTTGATGCAGGGAGGTATTTACCTACTGCAGTTATCCATGGAGCTGCAAGTAGCTCCAAGACCTTAGAAGCCTTGAAAAAGCTAATTAATGCGCTGCCATAAATAATTCGATCTCTTAGGAGGATATGTACTCTCTACACAGTAAGTAACAGCTTTCTTTAATGGAAAAAAAGGATGATTTGCCGATGCACATCTGTATTTTATTATAGGTTTTTATCAACCATTTATAATTTGCCATAAAGAAAGCAGAAAAGGAAAAAAAGAGAAACCTTAGCCTAAAACACAGCACATTCCTGTGAGCTACACCATCCCTGGAAAGCAAATCTAGGTCTGTCCTGTTTTGTCAGACACAAATATCACCCACAGGGAAATCTCACACACAATTAAGAGTCAGCGCAGATCATTTCTCCCAGACCCTTTTGCAGTTGCAGAGACAGAAGGCGGCTGCACAGGACAATCTCTTCGCAGCGCTGCACCAGAGTGGAAGCAACTGCCTGCCCTGTGCCCTCTGAAATGGGAGGAAAACCAATCGCTTCCTGTTGCAGAAAAAAATAGCTGTCTCTGGGACCACAGCAGGATGGCATGGCAGGCTTCCCACTGCAAATCAGCAGTGAATACCAAGTATAATAATAAAAAAGGAAAGTTATAAGCCACCTGCTTAGCTAGTGTTGTTACCCAGGAGGTTTTAGCATACTCTTTTTAACACATGAGGTTGCCCTTTAAATAGGTTTCCTGTTGCCCAGCGAGGTCAGGAGAGTAATCTTTTGCTGCGGAGGCAAGCCTAGGGGACCAACTCTGTCACAGTAGCATAAGGATTTTAAGTTACTCATAAGCTGGTTTAAGTGTTTTGAAAGATACAAAGTAAAAGAGTGTCAATACCTTAAAAACCACCTAAACCCTCCTAAGAAATAGGATTCAATTACCTTTCTGAATCCTTATTCTTAATAAGCACTCCAGAACCACTGGTGGGAACAGCTTAGTGATCTGCAAACTAGGGCGAAACTCTTTTAGTACAAAAGAAAAGCACACCCCATGCCACAGACGCTTGAGACGGCCCTTTGCCAGGGAAGCTCCGCTCCCTGTGATCCCGTACAAGCTGACCGCTAGCAAGGGAACACGCGGATACCGCAAAGGCGACTGCTCGGCATCCTTCACGCGGCAGGAGCACCTGGGAACAGCACCGCTAGGAGCTAAACTGCTCGGACAGACGTGTGCTGGGAGCCACCGCGGGTGAAACGCCAAAGCATCTTTAATAAATAAAACAATTTCTCTCAGCGGCAAGCCATCGGGGAGCTTCTGTATTTGAAGCTTTGCCAAAACATCAGCCCAGTCCTCCTGTGGAGAAAGAAATGGACCTTTGAACTCCTTGTGCAAATTTGTACTTTTCTAAGTGCAGCCTTTTAGAAACAGCTATAGCCAGGGGTGCAATTAATTCAATTCTTTCCAGAAGATTTTTAGCTCTGTAAAACTCATGTATTATTAAAGCCTCACAGCTAAACCATGAACCATGAAGGTCCAGCTTTTAATTTTTGCACAAAAAAAAAGAAAAAAAAAAAAGGACTTTTTGGTGAAAGTTCTCTGGAAAAAATCCCGCAACACCTTCAAAGCCCCCAGACTCCCTGGCTACCAATAGACACTTTTTATTTCTGAAGTGAGTTTGGTGGTACCTGACGCTCTCCATCAGCAGATCTCTACCTCAGCAGGCTCCTCGCTGGGCCTAGCCTCAGATTCCTACAGCAGCATCAAGGGAACGTCATCTGTGGTAAAAGCCTCAGCCAGGCCATTTTCTCCTGTATCTGCACTCCTAGCACGATTCAAGTCCCCTCAAGGATGATGCAGTAGAAGGCAGCTGATCTTCCCTCCCAGCCTGGATAACGGAAATCAGCTGGATAAAAAATCCTTATACATAGAGATAGGTGCCATAAGCAAACAAGAAATACGTCTACTCTGTAGTTATATAAATGTTTTTTTAGAACAATTATCCTGATCGAGAAGGTGTCAGCTTTAAACACCTAATGCAAAGCATCAGCTTTGCTCCTGGCCTGCATTTCGCCTTTAGGAAAGGCCTAAGGGAAACCGGCTCTCTGGAGCAGAACAGAATCAGCTCCTCACGTATCTGAACACTGGGGAAGCATATGTAAAAATGAGGGCAGAGTTTTACTGGCAAGAATTTCCTTGGTCTTCCTTGCACTTCCGAGACCTAAACTACCGGTTTAATGAGCAAGCGCCGCCCAGCAGAAAGACACCTGCACGAGGGAGTCTGTCTCCCACTCGGCGGGATCCCAGAGGCGCAGAGGCAGTCCTCCTCCCCTCAGCAGCGCTCGGCTCCACTTAGGCAGCAAGCGTGTAGCTAAAGCCTTCAAGCAAATACCGAATGTATGATTTGATCCGCGTTTTCTAATGGCCGGCCAGTTAGTCAAAAAAACTTAACCGTCTCTGAAGAAATATAACCTGGATTTAAACATACCAGATGCTAGATCCTTTGTTGCTCAGCAGCCGTTAAATGCATCAGGGATACACAAACAAACGGCGCAATACAGAAAGCGGCTGAAGAGCATTCACGCTCAAGAAGTCACCTGGAGACCTAGCCAGCTCACAGCTCCCGACAGGCCGACATGTTAGGATCACTGATACCGCTTTCAGGAGTCCTAGCTCTGTCTGTTTTTAAGCAGAAACAGATTTTCTAGAAATCTGCATTACTGCATGTTCCAAGCGCTGTAGCTGTCAGTCAGCTTTCCATAAGTTATTACTTCTGTGTATTCAGAGCAGTTTGGGAACCAAAAGTTGTCTTGTCACTTCCACGCTCCACAAACAGCATAGATGCTGGAATATGGTAATATTTACTCCTGTTTTGCCATCTGCTTATATATGCACATAAAACATGTGACTCCCAGAATGTGGAGCAGCAGAATAACAGCCGTAGCTTTTCATCACAAGATAAAGGTACAAAAAACAATACACACCTTTTCTTTTTAATGAAAAAGGTACTATTGCGCAAAAGGATACACATCATAAAAAATAAAAAAGCCCTTTTCAATGGAATAGATACTCCTTAGCTTTGGCTTTTACCAAAGAGTCAGTGTCCAAAAAAAAAAAAAAAAACCCAACCAAAACCAGCAAACCCTCCCCCCAAATCCCTAGCATCTTGGTTATGTAATCAGTAAAAAACAAACTGAAAAACAGAGGACTGAGTTGTTTATCTTTAGAAGAACAGATCCATCTCAGCTCTAGATCAGGTTGCAACGGGCCGCACGTCCCCAGACAACCTCTCACCTGAGCGCCTTGACATACCTTGAGAAAAAAAACAACTTTTAGTATTGATTTCCACGCTGAGAAGTTGTGTTACGCTCCTCCTTCCCACAGCCTGCACAGAACCCGCGGAGGAGAGCAGCCAGCCGCTCGCCAGCACCAGCCCCCAGAGCACAGCAGCTCCAGCCCCCACCCACCAACACCTCCCCACGCAGGTGGGGCTCCCTGCTCAGGTGTTTATTGTTAAAGTCGGTGCTAAAGACAGACCTAAGCTTGGGAGTGCGCTTAAATAACTCTCTAAATAAAGATCAACATGGCTAATTGAAGCATAAAGACCCCCTGCTTCCCTCATCCAACAAAGGAATCCAAACACTGAGCCGGAGTTTAAAACGATAGACCGCGTCCACACGCAGGCTCGTAGCCACGCAGGCAAGCGGCCAAGGCAAGTTCACCATTGCACCTTTCAAGAACAGTGAAATACGCAGAAGGCGTTTCCTGAAAGGGCAGACCTCGGCACAGAGAACTCCAGACTTCAGCTCCTTCGGTTTATTTTCAAAAAAGCTGATAAAGGTGGATTGACTGGAGGGCGGATGCCTCTGCTGCTCTCTAGCCCATGTGAGATGAGAATTTTGCACTCTCCCCAGAATTATGACACAGATTTTTTGAATAATGACAGGTTTTGGGGTTTTTCTTAGGGCAGGGAAAGTACTGTTGTGGGTCAGGGGGGTTGGGGTGTCTGTTTTAAGGCTAATCAGAATGAGAATGTTTGAAATCAAGTTGTGTAACATTTCCTAGAAACCTCAAACTCCCCCTGGCCAGAGAAGAATGTCAGAGCTGGATAAGCGGTTCTGCCCCAGCTGGGTGTTCTCTTACAGAGAGCGCTATCAACTTGTTAGCTCACCAAGCAGAGTGTTTGGTTTACTGTCAGACCCCACGGATGCTGCACTTCGCAACTCGCACTCATGCAGTGCCTCTGCTATCACATTTCAACAAGTTATCTCGTTGAGCAGTTCTTTTCACACTGGTTTGGGACACTTAAGTTGCGTACAACTAGTCCTTTCACCCAGAAGGGGTCATAGTCTCAGTTTCTCACAACTGTAAAAAAAAAACCCAAATATGAACATATGTTCTGTCTCACCCCACTGCAGTGAAACTGCTGTACCCCAGGCCATGCCTTAGAGTAGTGCCCATGAGATCGCAGCGGTCAGACAGGTCTCAGCCTGAGCTTCAGACACCCCACCGCATCCAGCTGCGGAGAGCCTCTCCCCGTTAAGGTTAAATGCACACCTAAGCCCCTTTTGGCTGAAGACTGTGATTCAAGACATTTATGGAATAAAGATAACTTCTTACAGGACTGTACTTCTATCAGTCTAGAGAGACAGCAGCTGAACTCATAGCAGCTATGAAAGAGAACATTCAGTGTCTTGTGTGACTATAAAGGAATTAAAAGACTCATTTTACAGTGCATTTTAATTAAAAGTTCATTATAAGAATTTTCTTTTAAGAACAGCATACTACATATTAATGGAAATATGTAACTTTATCCTACAAATGGGACTGTCACCATATTATTCTTACAATTCAAACATATGAAAAATAAAATATGATATTTAGCTTTATAAATTCCCCCTCCCCCCCCCCTTTAAATCCCTGTTCTTTTAAATAACAAATTTTTTTTCTTTCCCGGTACAGTGCATTTGCTATCTGCGAGCCACAAACCAAGTAATCACATCAATGCCAAGGAAACAGCAACATCGTTCGCAAAATATTGAGAGAAAATGATAAAAAAATATAGTACTCAGCCCAGTGCTTACAGAAGAGACAGTCAACAAGAATTGAAAAAACAGCACATTTTCATATTACATAGGACCATTATAATAACATAGAAAACAGTGCAGAAGACTTATGCTGGAAAAATATATAGCAATTCTCAGCAAGCAGAAACTGAACTTTGGCACTTGCTCATAAAAAGGCCTTTCAAAGCAAAACAAAATGGAAATTCACTTAATCACAGCTTGTATATTTAAAAAAATAAAGACATTGACTAAAGCAAGAGAAACAATAGAGAAAAGTTTACAAGCCAGGTCACTACAAATTCAGTACATTCAGCCTACAGCAAATACAAATACAATCTTTCATCCCTCCATCTGCGCTGGGATCCTGGCTAGCGAAAGACAGGCTTTGGGACAGAACCTTACCTGAACCACCTCCGTTTCAATGGAGCTGTGCTGATTACACAGCCCATTCTTCAGACTGAACTAAAATAGCATGTCTCAAATACATTGCCTCCTTATCATAAAATAAGGATTTCTAATCTGCAAATTAAAAAGCAAGACCCTTGCACTCAGACAGTGGCTGTTCTGCTCTACCCATAGTTGCACCGTAACCACTGTAGTGTAAGGATTAAGTGATTTCTTTAAAAAGGGCTAAAAAAGAATGGCTTCAAGTCAAAGGGGAGACTAGACTGGAAGGAAGGACTCACATTTAGCCTGTTAACTTTAGCTTTGTCAGCATGGCACATGATCCAAAGGAGTACTATAGTTAACATGTGCACGGCTGTTCCCCCTCCCTGCCAGAAGAACTGACGTACTGAAATCGGGCCTGACCAAAAGGCTGCTGCAGGCCAAAGCATATTTTTGGATCAGGCCATAAGAAAGCAAGGGCTGCTCTAGCCAAGAAGAGCTTCTTTCATTGTCAGCCTCAGTGCCCCAGACTAGCAGCTATCTTTGCACTGAGGCAGTTTACTCAATTTTTTATTCTTTTGAGGAGTTAAGATTGGGGAAGGGCAGAGCGAAAAAATAAGTGCTTTAGATTGCACAGAAGATTGTCCTACTAAAGGGGGCACTTGAATGGGAAACGATTGCAGCTAT